ATGATGTTAGTAAATTTGCTGTAACTTGTTTAGAGAGGGTTCCAACACAATAAAGAATGATGAGAAGACAATATATGAAAAAGGTATCTAAATTATGGTTTAATTGTATTCAAGAAGATAATAGTTAGGATTTTGAAATATAGACTCCTGCCACCATCATCAATATTTTAGGAAGGGTTAAAGCTTTTAAAAAATACATGTTTCCCAGCGGCTGAGCTTCCTATTCCCGAACTTCCTTAATGTTCCTTTGCTGTTAGAGGACTTTGGTCCCATAGATGTCTCCTGGCTTCTTTCCTTTCAGGAAGTCCTGACTCCTGCTCACAGTTTCAGTGGCTCCTGTTTCCTCTCCTCCTCCTTGTTAAGTAGCAGCAGCCCACAGTGGCTGGCTCCTCCTCCTTATTTCCATCTGCTTCCAGAGGTATCCAGACTTTCTAGTGCAAACAATGAGATGGATGGATAGAAACATTAAAGAGATGCCAGCAGCAAGTTACCTGCTAGCTCTTACTTCAGTTGAGTGAACTGGACTCAAAGGACTTAAAATTTCATTGGCTTAAAATGGCAAGTTTCCCATAACACCAGCAATTAAAGTGCTTCGTTATATCCAAGGCTCTTCACAGACACACACAGAGAACCTACATTACAGGAGCCTAACTGGGGGCTGTGTGGGCCAATGGGTCAAAATATTGCAGAGAGTAAAATATTCAGAGAAAAGGAAAAATGCATTGTCCAATGCAGAGATCCAGCTAAAGAATAAGGCAGAATGGGAGCAATGCAGAAACTCAGAAGATTCACATAGAGGCAGAGAGACAAAGGTAGATGAATTGGTGATTCTGCCATTTAAAAATCTTCCTTTTTCTTTCAGTTCCCACTCCCATCCCCACTCACACAGTGGGTTTTTATATTGGAGCCACCAGTGTCTTTAAAAAAAAAAAAAGACTACAAAATAGTAGGCAAGATCCGTGACTGGTATAAATTGGCATAACTCCATTGATTTCATTGGCCTAACGCCAGTTTATGCCTACTGGGGATCTGGCCCAATATTATGTTATCAGTGTGTATACTATGTGTCACCCCAAAAGAGAACAAAGTGCCCCATTAACTAATATACAAACACTATGTAGGGATCACTTTCCTCACCACTGACATTTATCAGTCTCTGGATTGAAACATGGCAGGTGTATGTTTCTGTAGACAGAATACAGTTAACTGAGTTAGAATTTGGACAGAGTTAACACTCTACTCTTATCAAAAATGCCATGGGGGCAGGTAGTGACTACAAATGGTCACATCCTCTATTTTACACATCATTCAACAAGGGCATTTGGACAAAGCATCCATCTATCATGTGTGTGACCTTGGAATCATATGCTTATAGGGCCTGATCCAAAGCCCATTGAATTGACATCAATGGAAAGACTCTTAATTGATGTCAGTGGGCTTTGGATCAGGTCCTGGGTTCCTGCAGCTGCTTGGCTAAATGCCCCTTCATGATTCTCCAACTGTAAAGGGCCATTGTAAAGACTCGTGATCTGAGATAAGCACAGATTTTCTCCCATACAAATAATGGTGCAAATGGACAATAGATTTAATTACTGACAAAAGTTCTTTCTTAGTAATAAAAACAATTTTCTCTGCAGAGTTCTTTTTTTCCTGCAGATATGTACCTCCCTTCTTATTTATTTATTTATTTTGTCCATCTCATTCTCAATCTGTAAACACTTGGCACCTCTGTTTAGAACAAATGGTGTTTGAAAGCCGGGGGAACCTCAGATTGGCACAGAAACAAGTGCCCTATCCAGGTGCCACGTCACATTCTCAAGCACTGAAACAACCTTCCTTAGGCAATGGTTTTGCTATGTTGACATTCCCAGAAAGGAACCTTCCATAATAAGATCAGAGCCCTTGAAAACTCAGTGAGAGATGTCACCTATATAAGGGACATTCAGTGTAGGGAGGAGTATGAGCCTGATCCAAAACACATTGAAGTCAATGGGAGTTTTTCCATTAACTTCAATGGTCTTTGGATCAAATCCTAAAAGAACGTAGGTAAATAAACACATAGATTGTGTAAAATATAAACAGCTCTCAGCTCACCGTGCAGCCGCTCCGGCCTGGCCTGCTCCTCCTCACCCTGCAAAGAGAGAGGTGTCACTTCCTGGGTCCAGCCATATACAAAGTGTTTCCATATCCTCCCCTATTAGCTAAGAAAATGTACTGAGTCATCTCTTCCAGCCTGGAGAGTCATAGGTCAGCAACATGGGGGCTGATGAGACCAGTAGTTAGTTTCCTGCTTAGGAAATATTTAATTCACTGTGGCATTGATTGTTAAAGTTATAGCTATGGGAAAATGGAATGACGTGTTAATGCGAGATTACAGGCATCCATTAGTGCCTCTCTGTCAAGTTTGTGTTTTCCTTAAGCACCTTTCACCATGGTAGCTAAGTGCATTTTGAACTGTAAGCCATCATTATTATGGAAGTAACAGAACAAAAATTGCATGTCTTTATTTTGATTAAATATTATTAGCATTGGTATTAGTGATAAATTGACAGAAGTATATGTTATTAATAGCTAATCAAACAGTGTGGTCTGAAAAATGATGATTTACAAAATAATCAGTGTTTGAACTATGTAGGCACGGAGCAGGTGTAAAAGGCCTGAAAGCCATCTAGTATGTGGGCTGCTCCTACACGACACAGGTGCTATTGCAAAGCTCAAGCCTTCAAAAATCCCAAATCAATCTACAGAAAATCAAGAGATTGGCTTAAAAATCATGCTGTGGTTTTAATAAATAAGTAAATGTTGGGGTTCTTTTCATTTTCCTTCTGGTTTGTGAGTCTTTAGGATTAATTCATTTCACGTGTTCAAGCTTTTCTCTGTAACCATGAGGGTTATAAACGTACTTTTTTTTAAGTGAAAGCTCAGGTTCCCACATAATCTGTGGAGTCCAGCAACTGAGGCTTAAAGAAAAATACCACATGTTGTGAGGTTTGTGAGAGTTGGTACCACTGGTTCTGTGAAGGAAACCTCAGACTTCCCCAGCTAATCTTCCCTTAAGGGGACTGCAGTTCCCCTTGTGGGACTGACTGGGGATTTGGCCACAAGATAAACAAGATCCCTTGGGATTCTCAGAGGCAGGTGCATCTATTCAGAGACCCCTGTGCAATGCCAATCAGCCCTTATCACAACAAAGCTCTAATGGAGCTGGGTTGCCAAGGGCTCCACACCTGGCTGCTCCCCTGGGAACAGTTCATCACCCCAGAAGAAGTTCCACATTGCAGAGGATGAAACCAGCCAAATCAAGGCTGACAATAGAGACAGCACTAACATAGGCCTTGTCTCCTTCTTGGGGGAGAGAGATAGTTCAGTGGTTTGAGTGTTGGCCTGCTAAACCCAGGGTTATGAGTTCAATCCTTGAGGGGGCCATCTAGGGCAAAAATTGGGGATTAGTCCTGCTTTGAGAAGGGGATTGGACTAGATGACCTCCTGAGGTCCCTTCCAACCCTGATATTCTGTTCCATGAGAAAATTTGTCTATAGCAGTTTAGAGCTGGTTTTATTAAATCGGTGCAATACCCAAGTGTAAATGTCCTTAATTTGGTATAAGAGTGAATTATTTTGAGCTTAATTTGATTCCTTACTGGCTGAAACTAAATTCATATAAACACTAAACCAAAATGCAAGTGTCCATGAGAAGGCTTTGCACTGATTTAACTCAACTGGTTTCTAAACCCGTCTAGTCAACTCAGTGCCATTTGTCTTGCAAAGACAAGGCCTTACTTGCAAAATGTCTCATGAGGATGAAGGGAGGCAGAGGTGAAAGTAAGCCAGTACGGTCTGGTACGGCGTACTGGCAAGAGCTGGTACGCTGTGCCGGACCGGACCAGCTTCCTCAGGCTGGTGCTTTAAAGGACTCAGGGCTCCCTGCAGCGGCTGGAGCCCCGGGCCCTTTAAATCGCTGCCCAAGCCCCACTGCTGGAGCCCCGGGGTAGTGGTGACAGAGCTCCGGTGGTGATTTAAAGGGCCCACAGCTTCACTGCGGTAGCAGCAGCTGGAGCCCTGGGCCCTTTAAATCTCCCTGCGGCTCCCAGCTGCCTCTGCAGCTGGGAGCTCCGGGGGTGATCTAAAGGCCCCGTGGCTCTCAGCCGGAGCCCCAGGGCCTTTAAATCTTGATTTAAAGGCCCTGCCGCTTCCGGTTGAGGCCACGCCTCTTTCAGTTGAGGCCACGCCCCCGCTCAGGACTCTGGCATACTGGTAAGTCCTTTAAGTTACTTTCACCCCGAAGGGAGGATACAATGACGTAGAGAGTGATTGCTATCAGGCCCCCCACTACACCCCAGCCGTGTATTCTGAGCCCATAGAACACCCAAGAAGAGGAGCGGAAAAGGGGGTAACAGTGCTGTCCTTCCATGCCCCCTGAGAGACAAAGCAAGATCCCTGACATCTCTGTTCCCATAGACGGAGGCAACAATATAGTACACAGAATATAGCATACCTGGTCGTACTGAAGATGTGGTGCCTCACTGAGGTGTATATTACTACAGAGTAACTACATTCAATTTCATGTAATACGACTGTGAAAATGGCTGATAAATTATTATAATTACACATAAAAAGCCAAAATACACAGCATGACTATAGGTGGCCTGCTCAAAAGCTCTCAGGTTGGCCTAACTCTCTGAAGTCAGTTGAAGTAGGCCAGTGCTAAATGCTTTTGCAATTCGTGCTCCAAATGTCTGCTTGTACTGGCCTTTTTTAGAAGATGTCCCCACGGGCTCAAAATAAGATGCTCTACGTTACTAAGATAAGATAACACTGAAAAATGTCTCACATGCCATCCTAGCAATGTCATCTAAACAATTAGTCCGTTGCCATTCTATACACATACGCCTCTGAAAAGTTATGGAAAGACTGAAATTAGATAAAATTAGCAAGAAGAAACTGCAGTTATACAAATCTGACTCTGTATATTTCCATTTGCCACTTTTTCTTTTACAACAGGTTGTGATCTCATCCCAGTCCAGTACCTCAGATGGGGCGATCCTGAACCAATAGCAGCGGTTGTTTTTTCCTGTCTGGGTTTACTGGCCACCCTGTTTGTTACCGCTGTATTCATCATGTACCGCGATACCCCAGTTGTCAAGTCATCCAGCCGAGAACTCTGCTACATTATTCTCGCTGGCATCTGCTTGGGTTACTTGTGTACTTTCTGTCTCATTGCAAAGCCCCAACGGATTTATTGTTACCTTCAAAGAATTGGCATCGGTCTGTCCCCAGCTATGAGTTACTCTGCCCTAGTAACTAAAACCAATCGCATTGCAAGAATTCTAGCTGGCAGCAAGAAGAAAATCTGTACAAAGAAACCTAGGTTCATGAGTGCCTGTGCCCAGTTGGTTATTGCATTTATATTAATATGTATACAGTTAGGCATAATTGTTGCCCTTTTCATAATGGAGCCACCAGATATAATGCATGATTATCCAAGTATCCGAGAGGTCTACTTGATTTGTAACACCACCAACTTGGGTGTCGTAACTCCCCTTGGATACAATGGATTATTAATTTTAAGTTGCACCTTTTATGCATTTAAGACCAGAAATGTCCCGGCTAATTTCAATGAAGCAAAGTATATTGCCTTTACAATGTATACCACCTGTATCATTTGGCTGGCCTTTGTGCCCATATATTTTGGTAGCAACTACAAGATAATCACCATGTGTTTTTCTGTAAGCCTGAGTGCCACTGTGGCCCTTGGGTGCATGTTTGTGCCAAAGGTGTACATCATCCTCGCTAAGCCAGAAAGGAATGTACGCAGCGCGTTCACCACGTCGACCGTGGTCCGCATGCATGTAGGGGATGGAAAGTCATCTTCAGCTGCAAGCCGCTCAAGTAGCCTGGTCAACCTATGGAAAAGAAGGGGATCGTCTGGTGAAACTCTAAGGTAAATTTTGCGAATATGGGAGTGTTTGGAGCAATTATGGTCTTCTGAGTGTGGAATAATACTAGTGGAAGGAGAAATAGGAGCCAATTTAATTTACTTCACCTCTGCACTGGGATGTATTTCACCTAGGATGGGCAGATATGGGCTCCTGTGTTATCTCAGTTTCATGGTAGGTCTGTTTCAGGCAAAAGGCTGCCTATGGGTGAAGACCATTTAGAGTAGCAAACCAAATATAAGCAAGCATAATTACTAGGTTGAAAGCATCAGCTGAGTCAACTGCATATGTGTTAAAGAGAGGGAAATAAGATCGTAACCCCCCCCCCAAGAAATATAAATGATTGCCTTTTCCTGAACGTGTTCATTCGAAATCTCTTTCACTCTGGTGAAAGTCATAGCCACTAACATACTGTATTTATATCTAGTCACAACCGTAAGACAACAGAATTGCTGCTAAAGCTACATAATCAGAGGTGAAGCTATCAATATAAATTCAGTCATTAATGGCAACTCTTGAGCCTCCAGGGATTTATTTCATGTGACTATTCTACCTCTTCTCTACCATTCTCTAATTTTCCTTTCTCTTATACTCTCTTCCAATCTTTACTCTTTTGCCCTCATCTACCTTCTCTCCTTTTTCCTGAGATCCTTCTCTTTTTCCATCCTCTCAATCTCCTCAATTCCTGCTGTCAACTGGTTACACTCTTGCAACCGTACTTTGTCCTGTCACTGACCAAGTAGTACTTCCCAATGAAGCATTTGCCCTTAATGGTCATCAAGAAAAGATGCATATTCAGGGCACAAGAATTTGTAGGTGAACAGCAGAAGCAGAAGCCCATCTTTAGGAGGACATAAAATAGGGAAGGTTCACTTACTTCTTTTGGTCCCTACCACTTGTGGCATGGTTGCAATGGGACTGATTTCAGCTGGCTAAATGCTGCTATGTGGGAAAAGACCTGGCTATGTACAGGTGCAGAAAACATACCTTTTCATTACTTAGCTATGTTTGTATTGCATTGAAATTACAGAGGGACAAATTCCATTCCACATTGAAATAAATGGGAGCCAGGGCATGCATTTTAGGGCTTATGAATTGGATGCCTTCACATACGCAGCGCCAAAGCCTGTTGAAATCAGTGGGAGTTTGCTTCCATATGCTTCTTCATGCACAGGTAGTAATCAGGGTCAAGTACACACTTGTACCGGTTGGAAGGAGGTACAGCCTTTGCCAGAGGCTTTTGTCACCTCAGTTATTACAGTGTACTCTGCGAGGTGACTGCTTAAGACCACTCTGAAATTTCCACTAATGCAGGCTGTGCCTGTCAGTATAGGCTTAAAGAAAGAAATATGTTACACGGGCACACTGTGATCAACACTCGCTTCCAGTTCATTTCCAGTTCATTTGCAATTTAAGATGTGAGTTTTAAATGAGTTGAAACATGGGTACTTCAGATAGAGGTTCTCTCCATGCAATACCTGGGCAGTTGAGATCATCCGAAATGCTCAAGCTAACAGCTCCATGGTTTGTCTGTAAGGGGTTGGAAGCAAATGTTCTCCATGAAAGAGCCTCAGCTGTGGAATATTCTTCCTGCTTTGGATCATTAGAGTCCAAATGTGTTCAACTTCAGGTCAGGCTGCAAGGCCTATTTGCTCACCCAGGATTTTTCTAAGTAGCAGGGAGTGGCAGTTGGTTTGGTTTGGTGGAAGCTCTTAGTTTTAGGGGAGATCCAGGTGGAAAAGTTTGTTGGACACTGACCTGAAATTACTGTTGTGTTTTTAACGGTCGATACACATGTGCCCTGAGCATTGAGTTCTAAAAAAAAACCCCAATAAACCAGTAATTTGTTCTTCTTTATTGTTACTATTTTGCTGGTAGTGAGCTTGGCTCTGTACAGCACTCAGAATGCAATGTACATATATACAAGAAGCATGTGCCCCCAAACTATCAGATTGACCTATCTGTTTGGTAGGGTAGAAATTAACAGCAAGTCCATTTAATCTGAATTCTAGGGGGAAATAGTTCCTTTATTTGTGAGGAGCATGGATAAATGACTCCTAAAATAAATGAAAACAGACCCTCAGGTGATCCCAACTAGAATAGCTCCATTGAGCTCAACAGAGCTATGCCAATTTACAGCAACTGAGAATCTGACCATGAATTAAAAAGGTCCATTAATCCATCAAAAACTTTCTGTGGGTCAGGCCTTTCTTATACTTTTTGGGTTTGCATTTTAAATAGTAACATTAAATTCATAGGGTAAATTTAAGATTCCACTCCTGAGTCTACTGAGATCTGATGTCATCTCCAAGGTGGAACAGAAAAGCTTTCTCAACTTTAATTCTGCCCACTATACTATATGAACACCATTTTATTTAATGGTCAAACACTTCTCAATAATAATATGGTGTATAAAGTAACATATTTCAGAGAATAAATCAGTACTATGCTCAACTATTTATATGGAACCTATTCAAGTCAACCCTAAAGTACTTGCAATCAAAGAAAATATGCACCAGAACTACACAACATATTTAAATAGCATAGAGGGGTTTTATTAAAATGGGGAGTGAGTCATTGTTGAGTTTTTAAGGAAACATGCTATTTAAGTCACCAGTGCATGGAAGGGCCCCTATCATTAACATTTTGCTTCTTGACACTAATTTATACCACAATGTAGTGTTCCATCAAATTATTGTCAAACAGATAATGCCATGGCTCCATTCAAAGCTTTCACGTCAGCTGCAAAATGACAGATAAAGAGACTGCTCTTGCCTAAATAAAGTAGTACATCTGTTAGAATCCTAAATGACTTTTTGCATAAGGTGCTGTTCAATTCAGAAACTCAGAAATACTATGGCTATATGCTGAAATGAGCATTCAAATGCTGAAATATGTAGAGAGTACGCCTTACAAAAATATTCATTACCCAATGAAATGAAATTCACGTTGTGAATTTAATGCAAGCTCTTCTGATTTTGCAAAATCCACCCAAATACATTCTCTCCTCAATTAAAAGAAAAGATCATGTATCAAATCAATGCACAACATTAATTGAAGCAAATCCACAAAGTATTATGTACTACACATCATAGCCAGAATCAAAGACGCACAGCCTACTTACCTTTCATCTCATCTTATTTCTGCATTTCCAGAGTGCTTAGTCACCATAGTATCTAGGGGTCGAGAGATGGGCAAATTGGTTGGGGAAAAAATGAATACCCTATTCACTCGCAAAGCCTCTGCAATTTTTAGCACAAAATATCAACCAAACATCTTTTTAAGATTCTAAAATATTTGGGTGAAGTGTCTCATCCTCATTTTTCATGGACTTCCATGCCCAAGCCTGGATGAAACCACATAATGTTTCCACAAAATCTGCTCTTGTAGCATTCCTAGCTGGGACCAGAAGCAAAAGGTTTGGAATATATCTACTATTGCACAGAGATTGGAAGTGATATTCCAATGGTTCTATCTAACTTCTTAGGTCTGAAAGTTTATTCAGCAGTACATTTGTGTCTGTATTGGCCTATCCCTTAAAATGTGCATTCCCAAAAGCACACAGGCATGTTTCCTTATGCCCAGCTTATGCTCACAAATACCAGGATAGGTGTGCATCCATCCAAGACCTCCTCCTTAGCTCAGGCCTGGGCCATCACTTGTTCATTCATTTTCCTTTTGAAGGGTGATTTTTTAGCTCTCCCTGTCCCCAGAGCTGGGGAGGTCTCAAATGCTCCTGCCCAGTTGCCCCCACTTAGTCCCCCCACACCCAGATCCACTTTTTAAAAAAATGGTGGGAGGTAAGGGTAATCATCTTATGATTTCTGCAACCTTTTCAGGCAGCTGCTGCTGTCCTAACTGGCCACACCCTCTGTGATGATGTAGGAGCCCACTTGGGTGGAAATGCCATCAGCCGTCACACAAGAGACAGGGTCAATTGGGAGCATCAAATGTACACAAAAGTGGCAAGCAGATCAAGATTGGCCACTTACTCTTGGTGACACTGATTGTTATGGAAAGTGAGGATCCATTTTAAAAAAAGCATGAGCCATACTGTAAAGCCAGTTGTAGAGATCGTTGCACAGCAGGAGTATGTACATAGAATGATACACAGTAGTCACTCAACAGCAGCTGACTAAGTAGATGGTCAACTGACCATGTGTTTCAATTCTTCAGCACTTGGACCTCTTCACCCATCCAGATCTGAACAGCAAGATAGAGCCTGTGAACAGAGAAGGATTCCAATTAATTTCTGCTTCCACAGAAAACTTGCAGAGTCCATTAGCATTAAACTTTAATCACAAAGTGTGGTAGTGATATCTGGTATTACTAAAACTTCATTAGCACATTGCTTAGATTTGTAGATTCATGCCTACTAAGTCCCAAAGGGACCACTGTGATCATCTAGTCTGAGCTCGTGTACAACACAGGTGATAGCACTTCCCCAAATTAATCCCTCTTTGAACTGGAGCATATCATTAGAAAAAACATCCGATCTTGATTTAAAAATTGCCAGTGATAGAGAATCAACCATAGCCCTTAGAAAGTTGTTCTAATGGTTAATTATTTTCACTGTTAACAATGTGCACCTTATTTCCAGTCTGAATTTGTCTAGCTTCATCTTCCAGTCACTTGATCTTATCATACCTTTGCCTGGGGTTAATGTTAGGGTAACAGGACTACAGTTACTCTGGTCATCCCATTTACCCCTTGTAAGTATTGGCACAACATTAGTTTCTTCCCATCATCTGGAACTTCCCCAGAGTTCCAAGACTTCTTGAAAATAAACATTACTGGTTGAGAGAGCTCCCAGCCAGCTCTTTCACAGCTCTTGGATGCAAGTTACCCAGACTTTCTAAGTTTTAAAATGTCTAGTTTTATTAGCTGCTGTTTAACATCCCTTCTGAGTTCCTGGTGGAATGAAAAGTTCATTATGCAGTATTTCTTAAAGGATTAAAATTAAATTGCAGTTCTCAAAGAAATTAATAAAGTATATTTTGTGATGTTTTATCCTGATCTTTTATTATATTTGTTCACTATTTGTGAATTCACAAAATTCAGTAATTCACTATGGGACTCCCAATAATTGGTGTGAATTAGCGAGATTCTACTGATGCAAATTAATTGTGTAGTATTTTGAGAGTATTATTCATGAGTGTGATTAGTTGTTGTTTGTATTTCACTCTGGAGATTTACAGCATTACAACTAGAGACTCTTTAAATGTGTTTGTCTTTGCTGCAGTACCCTCAGCAAAACCAGTGCATCACAATGAAGAAATCAGTCCTCTTTTCCACATCTGCTGAGACAAAGCAACTCTTTTAAGAGACTCCACTGTCATATAAGAGTGAATTGTTGCTATTATTTGTTATTTAGAAGACTCTGGAGAGTGCCCTGAGTTTCCAACCATTGGGAAACCAGCCCATTCAAGTCAAGTATTTGTCATTGAATCCTGGCATTATACCAACCTGCTGTAGGATAGAGTCTATTATAAGCAATATTTTAGCCATTCATATAGTCCAGGTAGCAGATTTTGAGTGGTTGGAGGACAAGTCCATGAACCAGTGGACAGACTCTGAGACATGGACTTCAAGCTGTTGGATCAGGTGCTGTCAGTATGCATATTCACCAGCAATGCAATGCCAGTGATGAGCCCGAGAGAGATTCAAATTCTATGTACCTTACTGAGATGAAAATCCTAAGGGAAGTAAAAGGATTTTTACCTGATATGGAACTGTTTAGTCGAGGAAAGAAGACAAGGCCATGCTGTGAAGAACACAAGCCAGAATGACGCAGCAGGAGAAGATAGCTGATCCTTGCTGAAAACTGGGCCTTGTTGTTTGATGGCAGGCACTTGTTTTCCATATCCCCACTAAGTAAGAAGTTTGTCGTTAGAGTCGGCTACACCGTATTCTGTCAGAACACAGGGCATTTATTAGTACCAATGCCAATTTGCAAAGACACAGTTCCTGTTTTGATTAATCAGAGGTGTAGACAAGTTCTTGAACACGTGTATAATTCTTTCTCAAGACCCAATTACTTGAGGCATTTTTTTATCTACCGGTGTTTTACGTCAGCGCATAGTCTTTAAGAATCAAGATCACATCCATTACAACCAAAAGGCTGAGCAAATCTTAGAGGTCTGTTGGACTGAAGAGACTGATGAGTTAATAGGTACATCAGATGGCAAGACAAATAGATAAATACAGAGAAGATCTTAGAAGAGCACTTCTTACGCATAGAAATAACAGGCTTTGGAATTTTATAGATTAGTTGTTTACAGTTCTTACAAATGGTTGTAGTTCTGCTCAGACTGGTGTTCTGGCCCAAACAGAGAGATACTAAGAAGGTGGTCATTTCGCTATGTTAAGATCAGTTAGAAGGATGGCTCCAGAGCTGCTTGTAATGACCTATCCCTATTTTGGATCACCATTTATACTGACTACGCACACCAAAAGGGTTGTATGCTGTACGCATTTAGAAACAGAACAGGCTTGAAAGGTGACTGTATATATTAGGTGAACATTGCAAAATGCTGAAAAGACATGTGATTATTCATATTCAAACAAGGGCTTTCTTACTTTTAGAATGTAGATAATGAGTAAATGTAAAGGAAAATTCTACTGTGGTATATAAAATGATATACTAGTGACTATAAATAATTAAGAATAATAGTAAATCACTTTCAAAAACATTTGTCTTCAAATATTTTTAAAAGTCAGTCACAATTAAATGTTCTGTATGTCTCTGCCACTTACTATGCTTCCCTGAAAAATTAAGAATGTACAATATCTATAGCATTGTAATTGCCACTGGTTTGAGTAGTGATTTTACTGCCCAATGACACAGTATGCTGTGATTGGCACACAAAGTACAACCTTTAACAGACATACATTTGTGCTCATGAGAAGCAGTTTCTCTGTTAGGAGGTATGTGCAGTTTCTAGTGGTTAGATTTATCTTCAACTCTCTATCAGTCACAGGACTGATGGCTCCATGAAACTCAGGCTGCATTTTCACCATGTATGGTGTTTGCCCCCATAACTACTAGAACATCTGTGAGATGCGAATGGCATCTCTAATTAGTTGTATTCTGACATAGAGAATTTTAGACGTCTTTCATAGCCTGCCTTTTCTTCTACTAATGATCAGAGGTCAGAAGCAGAAAGCCTTTCTGTAGGATCTATCCTTGTGACTTAGGAGAAACCAGCCCTTAAGAGGTGACATACAAATAAACCTATCCCTTAACGCAGAAATGACTTGATGGTCCAGAGACAATACTCTTAGAGTAACTGTAACTGTTGAAGAGAAGTGAAGAACTATAATGGATCACAACCCCACATCTTAGCAGAGACAAAGTATGACTTCACTGTCACTGTCAATGTAGTAAATATAATGGAAGTTACTCAATAAAATTACTGCTTGAAAATGGAGAGGAGGACGCAAGAGATGCTAAGGATAATTTTTAGTGGAAGAGAAGTTTAAATTGCACATATGTGATTGCCTTTTGAACTACAGCATTCCCAAAAAGACTAGGGGCTAGATCCATATGTGGCGTAAACTTGTTTAGCTCAATGAACTGTAATGGAGATGTCAGTTTACACAGCTGAGAGAACAATTTTGACAGAAAAAGGAAAAGAGTATGACTCTTCAAAGAAAACAGTCATCTTTTTGACTGGTTTGATTGCACTTACTAATTGCTCATTTTCCAAACAGATCATTTGGAGCTGTCCTAAATTCGTATACCACAAAAATTGAGATCTGGAAGTTGTTGAATGGTTTGAATCATTCAGTTCTGCATAGATAATTTACTCCAGTGTCTTTCTGGGCAAGTGTGATAATGTGATTAATTAAACTTCAAGGATTGTAAAATAATTGAGGAACATTTTAGGAAACTCTCTGAAGGATATTAGGTCTAAATTATTTTGATGAATTACTGCTAAAGCACTCCATCTGTATAATGTATCGATCTTCTTGAATGCTCTGCTTACAATGAATTTTAATTTGTGTGCAATGCTAGAGTTGTTGTTTGGGGATTTTTTCTCAACTTAAAATTTAATTAAAACATTGTTGATAGATTGATATAAATTGTTTGGCTACATACACTGAGTTTACTTTCTGGAATTATTTTTGTTATTAAGATGGTATCCCCATAACTTTGCATTGAGCATCATAGGCTGAGTTGTACAAATTAAATTATATACAAATTTCCTGCCAGCTTTGAAACAGTGTATGTGCTAGCAGGTAAAAGAAAGTCTCTTCCTTATATCTTCAGGAAGGAAAAGAGGAAACAAAGAAGGTGGGCCCCTGCAGTATTACTCTTTAAAAAAAATTGGATACTACTTTGCCTCATAACAGTGTCCTCTGTTTATCTAATTTTCCATCATTGCACTAACCCACAAATTCTACTGAGTTGCAAGTAATCCTATGAAGATAGCACCTGTGCATGAATGCTGGCCATAGATGCAAGTTGACAGCAATAGGTAGCTATTGCCTGATGTACCTGAACTTCTCCAAACTAGTTTAGCACAATCTCTGGTTATTGGTATTAAAATGGCTACCCTTTAAAATCAGGCTTTACATCCATAAAACTTCTTCCCTCTTCCTACAGTTTTAGTTTGGGTACAGTTATATTTCTTTTATCGTCTGGTGATATGGTCCATATGGTATGTTGCCAGCTGTTGAGGTTGGTTTACAGCACAGATAAGTTGACCAAAAGAATACATTGCTTTGCAGTGGTTTTTCTCCTGCTTGAGAAATTATTGCAATCTTATTTCTCCAAAATCCAAATCATGCAGTTGCAGAATCCTGAAACCAGATTAGGAAGGCTGAAAATTGAATAAAGAAGTAGCAGATTAATAACACGTATAGAAAATAATTAAAAAAGAAAGAAAGCTGACTTGCTAGAAACATAGGATAGAGTTAAAACAGCGTTAATCAGAGAAGATCTTCCTTGCAGAGTAATTTACTGAATGCTGATCAACTGTTTTTGGTGATTTTTCCATCTGTAAATATTTTGGGATTCCAAACCACAAGACTCAAGTAGCTTGAAAATTTCCAGTGTGTTGTAATGTTTAACGCAAAGCCAGGATAAAGCATTGTGCACTGTTCATTTTTCCTTATTTATTACTAAAAGTAATAAGGTCTTAGTAATGAGACCCCCACACACTGCATACATTGTTATATTTTTATGGGGAAGTGAGGTGAGAATACTGGCTTTGTGCATGGACTAGAGGGTATAAAATAGCAGGGTTCTACTATTACAGGGATTCTGTGGGTAGGATTTCTGAAGATCTATCTTTTCAATAGCACCCCTAGAGGAAGAAGATAAATGGGAGCACTATTCAGTCTGCACTGACAGTCTGCTCTTTCCATCTACCTGTGGAATCCTCAGAGCCTTTGTAGATCTCTACATCAAGAAAAGTCATTTTAATTCACCAGTTCCAATTACATATGGTTGCTTAATTATAATTGACTATAAAGAAAAAGATTACACCCTACATGGAAAAAAATAAATTATAAACTTGGCTTTAAAGTAATTCTGTTTGTCGAAATTGTGCCACTAAGCAATTGTGCTTGTATTCTGTTAAAAAAACTCAACCCTGAAGTGTTCAACAGTATATAACTTATTTTAGGCATTGCAAAACTATTATAATATAAGGGAGTGAGACCATTTTAAGCCAATCACTTCACGATGGTACAGTACGGAGACATGCCATCAGGATATACAAATTATTGCAGTACTGAATTTCAAGAACTCTAGTGTGTTTTGTAGCTCAGTGTAGCAGATCAAGTGAATATATTAAACATTCTCCAGAGTTCTATCTTTACCAGTTTAAAACTATTCAGAACTCTCCATGCACGCAATGTTTGTTTCTTTTATCTAGAGTGAAGGGCAGAGCTTATCCTGTTGCTGTGAAATGTAGAATCTTCATCATTTCCGAGTGTCAGGGCCAGATAGTATTGAAAAATATTATGTGTGTATGAGCTGACACTGTTAAAATGTATCACTGTCTGGGAAGGTGGAAGGCTTGGTTTTACCCAAGTTTCTAGGTAAATTCCAAGCACAAATAGATTAAAAAGCACCATTAAAAGCAACTCTGGCAACAAAATGACAGCATTTCATCAATGCCTAATTATGGACTTTAAATCCATGGATTATTAACATTATAGACTACTTTGGCTCTTTCTTACATGACACTGGGAGTTTAGGGATTTAAACATAACATGCTTATAGTTTGATAAGAAATATACTCCATATGCAGAGAAAACCGGAATGAGGAAATCATTAATCCTGAAAATGTACGGAGAACAAACTGAGGGTCAGGTTCAGCAAAAGCACCTAAGTAGTAATTTTGTTTCATTGAAGTCAGTGGGACTTAAGTATGTGCATAAATGCTTTGCTGAATCAGCACCTGAAGGACACAAGCAGTCTTTTCAGGCCATATTAGCTCTGATTCTAAAAGCCAAATTTTGCCTTCTTTTCATATGGATACCAGAAAACCTGAAGTACATTGCCAATGATTACCCATAGCCCTGGCTAACCTGAAAAATCCTGGAGAATCTGCTCTGCAACAAGAGTCATGGAGGGGCATGAAGGAGCTTGGCCAGTGAGCCAGGGAGCAATCGACATATTCACATGCTTCCCCAACATAGTCCCGACTCCTGTGCACAGCAAAAATGTAGTCATAATCCTAGAAGGAAACAAATTCATGAGAGGAGCTTTCTCCAAACTGTTTACAACCAGATTGTAATTGTACCAACTGAGCTCAGAGGTTACATCATTTCCCCCATAACTAGAATGCCCTACTGCCACATGCTAAGAATATTTAAGCATTTGTCTAGACTAGAGTTTATGGCCCTGTTTAAACGTGAGTTAGCTGATTGCCAGTCAGCTCAAATTCACCAACACGACTGTCAATCTCAGCCTAGACACTTCGCAAACATTTGGACACAAATGTATGTGATTTACCCTAGTGTGGAGTTAGGGTCTAGTTCAGAGGCTTATTCAAAATGTTCAGATCTTGGGAGTCTGCAAAACGTACCTGGAACTGTCATGAGAACCAGTGTTCTTGCTGCGTTTTAGTATCATACACTTCAACCTATCATGAAATGAAGATGTGGGTGAAATTTTATTTTTAAACTTCAAATACAGATTTATCAAGCATTCCAGGGAGTTTCAGAAAGCCTTGGTTTGGGTTCCGTTCTAGGAATGGTCTACTGCAAGGCCGTTTGTGAAAAAAGGCATATTTTTAACCATTTTGCCCATTCCTAGAAATAATGGTCAGATTTGACTCCGTTTTTTTTCATTTTTCCTGTTGAAATGGCACCTTTTCCATCCCTCCAGGCTTCAGTTTTATGAGGACATTACTGCTGCCTTGAGAAGGAAAAACGTTGTTGATCAGAGAGGCTGTGTTTCTCTATGATTAATCAGAGCCAAGCACACTGTTGGCATTCAATAAATAATAACAATAAAATACCTGCATGGTAGTGGAGGAGCCATTTAAAATGCAAGTGGAGAGAGATTTATATCAGTTCTCTAATATCCTACCCCAGCAAATTATCCTTGCTTTGTGGTGCATGAACAATGGGCTAAATTTTGCAGTCCCATTTAATCCTTATGCAGGCAATGGAATTCAGAGACTGATGATGAGAAGGATTTTGAGACAGGGAAACACTCTGACATGATCAGAGATTGGTTCTACTCTTTTTAGAGAGCATAAGAAAAAAACTAATGAATATTACAGAAAAGTAGATCAAGATCTTCTATTTACCCTTTCTCATAATACACAAGAAAGAGAGAGCCAATGAAATGTAGAGGTAGCAAATTCAAAACTGACAAAAGGAGATAGTGTTTTACATAATTCTCAGTTAACCCGTTTAACTCATTGCATCAAGATATTAATAAAGCCAAGAGCTTAGCAAAATTCACAGATGTATTAGATATTTGTAGGGAGACCAAGAATATCCTAAGTCATTATATTAATCTTTTTTTAATTTTGGAAGGAATAGAAACCTTCATGCTTGATGGCATAATTCAACCTCTAATTACTGGGGGCCAGGAGGAAACTTTTCCTGTGGGCAGGTTACCCGATAACTGCCTACTGCAAAGTTTCTTGCACCTTCCTCTTAGTAATTGGTACTTCTATTCTGTTCTATTCTATATAGGTTTTTATACTGTGCTCATAACCATAATATCTGAGTGCCTTCCAGTAGTGCATTCAGCAATGTGACCACATGTCTGGCACGTGTTGTTCTCTCCTTCTCTCCCCAAAAGGTGAAACGTGTGCAAAGGAGAGTCTTGTGGTAGGGTATTATTAATAGTAGTATTATTTATAAATATGCCTGTTGCTATGTGTTTATATTAGACAAAGCAAGGCCAGAAAATGTGTCCTGCACTTGGCCATTCTCAGTGCCAGAACTACATAGACCACTGGTCTGATCCATGATGGCAATTCCTAGATTCCTCTTGGCTTCCCAATGCTTCAATTATTGCTAGTCTTCAATGGGAGTTTTATCTGAGAGAGGACTGCAGAATTAGGCCATTGTTTTCTTACACCTGAACATCCTACTTAGTTTTTTCTATCTACTATCATGATGTAACACACACATCAACAGCTCACACTATATTGTCATATTTTCTTTCAGCCTGCAAGCAAACTCTTCTCTCCATAATACTCTGCTGATCACCCATATAAAGTACAGATCACCTCTAAATTCCCTCTCTAGGGTCAATGGGAATTTTGTAAATGGAGCGAGTGCAGAAATGATCTGCACGATGGATTACTTTTGAAATTTCCTACTATTGATAGAATTGTATGGTGCATATCATTGTGTATAAAACACTTCTACCGCTGGATGCAGCTCACCCTTGTGCAGAAAACCAGCAGAAAACCTATATGCCCCATTTATGTCCACAAAATATAGCTTAAGTGGTACATGGCTCTTGTACTGGCCCTCTGCACAGGAGCAAATCTCTCCTACCCTTTTTGCTGAAGAGAGTCATCGTGATGTTCTATAGTTCAGGTGCTTGCATAAAAAAGAAGAAATCATCTTGTACACAAGTAGTTAAGTTAAACTTGGCTTGGCCTCACTCCATATGATTGTATTTAAAGTGCAAAATAATTTTTGCATAGAACTTGTTAATGGTAACTGAAAAAATATATTTGAAGGGGTTTTTGTTTTGTGCTTTGCTTTCAGATTTAATATTTTTTTTAAAAACCTTTGCATTTAACAACTAGGAAGAAAAACAAAATCTTTTTATAGTATTTCCAAATAAAGACAACACTGAGGCAAAATCAGGCCCCACATTCCCTGCCCTCCATTGGCACAGAAAACCCTATATCCTACAGAAGCTCCATGCAAGCAAGCATGCAGGCTCTACAGAGGCCAAGCAGAGAGACTCACAGCCTTTATGTGATCTTTGATGCTTTTCCTCCACTGTAACATGAAGAGGACTTTAGGGAGTAGGTTAGGGAGAGATCGGTTCAGGGGGTTCATAATGACATGAATACAATGGCAAAAATTAGTGTTGCATAAGCAACCATGGAGCAGATCCCTTCTTTCAGGTCTTTGAAGCAACCCTTGATCATATCAAGTCTCCTTTCACAGGTGTCATTGGGTCTCAAAAAGACTATAATCATTGGGATCCCCCAGCAGACTTTCCAAGATCCAGCATCCTGATTATCACATTTATAATGGGACCTGGGGGACAGAAAATTATCCTGTTTTCTTTATCTGGGCTACAAGTGTCCCAGCCTAGGTTTCTCACTATGACATCACCAATCAGGATTACTTATCTCTTTTCTTCTGGTGGCTACTTTTCACCATTCAGCTCATAGTCAGTAGTTCGACCTCTAACCTCCCTGGGTTGCTCTTTTTCTTCTCTATATAATCATCTCTGCTACCTTCTGCTTTGCTTCCTTCTGCCTTGTGGAGAGCAGAGTATCTATTTTGGATACCAAGGTTAAATGTGTCTGTATTTCTCTCCTGCTTTTCCTATTCTCTTTCCTCCATGATGTCACATTCCTCCTCCTCTTATTTGCTCCTCTCTCTTCTGTATGGTTCAGACTTTCTTTCTTTCTTTCTTTCTTTCTTTCTTTCTTTCTTTCTTTCTTGTTGTTCTCTTTGAGTTAAGGTTCCTGTGCAGCTGGAAGTACCTGTGTGATCCAGTTTGACTCCCTTTTATATCTTTCAGTGATTTCATCCGCTGTTCAAGCCCCTCCACTTTTTCCTCCACTGTAGGAATCAACTTGCAATTCAGATGTATGTATCCTGCATGGTCTTCATTCATAATTGGGAGCACTGCACATACAGCACAATGGGTTACTTTGGAGTCTTTGGTAGCAGTTTTTTACAGCATTGTTGCTTCTTCCTTTAGGATGGTGCCTCACTTGTTAGAACCTTTAAATAACACAAGATTTTGCTACACTGAGAACATCCCACATGGCAGTCTCCAGCTCACAGCTACACTAACTTTTTGGCTGATCTATATTAATTCCTTCCTTTGCCACTCACTATGGCATGGTTTCCTTACCCAGCATTCACTGTAACTGTCAAAGTACTGCTCCCTTTTTGCTTGCCCTCAGATTGTTGCTGTCTTACTGCGTTGCTGGCTTTGGATTAGTCTTTTCTACTTTCCCTCCGGTTAATAAATTGTCCACAAATTAGCTATCTGGTTATGTTAGTGATAATGTCATGTTAACGAGCATGTTAACTAACTGGCATCAAACCAAACAGATTTGCTTTAAAGAATTTTGCTAAACATGAGTGATGCAGACCACGGCATCTGACAGTGGAATATCACAAACAACTATTTAAAGAGAGGGGACCCAATTTTCAGTATGAGTATCTCTGTAGGTTTTCCAAATCCCAAATTCAGGCATTTAAATAGCTACTTGAACCCATACAACTAGAACTTGAGCAACTAGGGTGAAATTCACCACTGTGCAGAGAGCCAGCATAAGACCTTTGCATTAAGTCCCACTGTAGTTCTGTTTTGAGGACGTAAGTGGTGAACAGGCCTTGCACTAGTCTCCTGCATAGGAAGGAATTAGACCCTTGAGTACCACTTGCTCACCCAGGTGTGGGCTATGGACATTCACTCATAGTGTTAAATTGTGCTCAAGGTGTATCCAAACAGGGGTCAGTGTTCAGGCTTCACAAATGGAGAGAATGAGTTAGATGCTGCAGAGATGCAGAGCTCAGTGGTTTAGGGAGGGGTATTAAGCTAGGAATGAGAACTCAGGCCTTGTCCTTTGTGACCCAGGAGCAACTAGTTAACTTCTCTTTGCTCTTTAATTTCAAATTCTCTTTCCCTTAATCTTCCATTCGGTCTGTGCATCTGATTGACCTGGTACAAGTGAAACACTAGAGAGAAAAGGCTGGTTTGGTTTTAACTCTGCAGAATAACTCCGCTCCTGCTAGAGCAAAGAAAGTGCTTGAGCTCACCTCCTGTGCACTGCTGCTTGTGTTGAGCACGGGCCTGGGGGCCTTATGCAGCTTCTCCAGCACCCCTCCGGCAGGCTGGTGCAATAGCCACCATTGCAATAGCAGGCTTCCCGCACGTGGCACTCTGCACAGCAGCTGTAGCACAGGGTGGCAGCCGAGCACACAAATCACTTCTTTCTGTTTGCTCCTGTTGTTGTCATGATTTGTTAGGTACAAAGGCAGGAGGCTGGCCCAGCACAAGTCGGAAATAGAGTGTTTCACCCCAAAAGGGAGTATGGGAAATGGTGGGAGAGCTACAATGAGCAGGTAAGCATACAGTGGAGTGGCCTGGGGGCCGTGTGATATGTCTGTGAGCAAGAGGAGCACCTCTGGGACAGTGCTGGCCCAGATCCTCTATCTGTAATGACTATGCATCCCATATAGTATGTCCAAAAGAAAAAAACTTGGCCACCCCTGGTTTACATGTTATGTTTGAGCTGCAAAAATGCACCATGCTCATTTCGGTAATCGGAACCACTTGTCATTCATGATGTTGTCATAATATGGGGCTCTTGTCAAGAGAAACTTTTGACCCCTGGCCAGCCCATTAGAAGGTAACAATAAGCAATGGTAATACAGAGTCTAGCTGTCAAGTAAGCAAATTCTGAGTTCTATCTAAATGTGGGTCATACTTTATATAAAGGGTTACCTTAATAAATAGCTTCTAAAGGATTAATGAAGAGAGCTAGTTGGGAAAAAATCGATGGAACAGTTTACTGTCAGAATTGAAATGTTTCATGGGAATGTATTGATGACAACAAATTTTTTGACGGAAAAGCTTCACAATTATTCAAAACCAAAATGGAGCATAACTTAGTTGTTTAGTTTCATTTCAATGTTGTTTTGTTTAATTCTGACTATTTTGCTTCATTTAGGTTTTCGCATTTCAGTACATTTCATTTTGACTTTTATATTAAATTTTACTATTATATTTCTATAATATGTTTAATATTATAAGTATATTCACTGCGAGTAATATTTTATAAGATATTATAATGTTTTGATATTAGTGAAATGAAACGTTTCAATTATTTTTTCCCCCTATATTTCCCAATCAAAATGTTTCAAGATTTTTAATTTTCATCCCAAGTTGGGACAAAAGCAAATACTGAAATGTTGGAATTTCCCATGGGATGGAAATTCCATTTTCCGACCACCTCTATTAACATATGATTAATATGATCAATGTGTTACAGGCGAGTGCCATGTGTCATACATGGTTATAAGCATATCGGTAGAAGATGATTATAGATGATTATAAGCCATGATAATAAGCAACGTATTGACCTGTTAGATTCTATTGCAGTCTATAACAATTTGATTTACCACTTCTTAAAAGATGTATTTAACCCTTTATAAACAACTTAGAAATGTAACTTTAACATAATACATAACCAAAGGGGTGAACAAAATGTACCTTTGGCTTTACTGATTTTTGTACCAGAGAACCATCCTGTAATTGCAGGAAGGCATTCCAAGATGCACACAGCATGATGTTCCCCTTGTGCTTAACAACGCTCACTCAAGCGCACAAGGCATGTGATTATAACAATGCACGCTCTGGGGATCCTGGCTGCTTAAATAACGTCAGCACCATTCATTCACATGTGGTTGTTCGAAATTTATCTACACCTGCTGTTTGTTTGTCAACCTGTCTGTGTTCTGCACTCTGTTCTTTGGGGGTATTTTTAACTGCCATTTCCTGCAATTAGATTTGTTTTTTCCAGTTAGAGTCACTGAATAAGAGAGAACTGAAGAGGAAACAAGTGCATGTAAATATAAAACAGTTGTATTTCATTGTACATAGTTTAGTTCCCCTTTTTACAAATACTTTACACATACATATATATAAACTACATGTATAAAACTATATATTATATATATATATATATAAACTCTCCCTATATTTTATATCTTCACAGTGAAGAATCTATGTGCATTCCAGAGTATTATCCATCTGAGCCAAGTAGAGATGAGAAAGAGGTTCCTGTGAAAGATGATGCCCTAATAGTCAGAAAGACTGGAAACTTTATCAGTGTAATACTTCTATAGCAAGACTGTCATTCATAAGACCTACTCAAACAGTTAAGAATATTTGTTGTTTAACAGATATTAGATTTGTATTTTATGGCGGTGTTTTGTTGTCTCCAGCCATAGTAGCCCAAGCTGTGATTCTGTCAGCTCCCAGAAGCTAACTAGAGCTGGAACTGAATAGGATGGGAGACTTCCAAAGAAACTGTAGGTGCTGCAGAAAGCAGTGTAGGTGATGT